GAGTGCCAAAGTGGCTTTACTTCTAATGATGTCATTTTTATAAACAATTCATTCATGTGTATTTTGAGTTATAAAATATTAATTTTGTTTAGTGAATATTGAAAACCAGAAAAAAATAAAAACGGTGCTTACATACACATCTTCACAATTCTTACTTTGTTTATACTTCTGAGAGTTTAAGTTTTGATTCAAAAAGACTTTTTTTTCTGTCCTAGGGATTGAACTAAGGGGCACTTAACAACTAAGCCACATCCTCAGCCCTTTTTTTTTTTTTTTGAGACCGGGTCTTATTGAGTTGCTTAGGGCCTCACTAAATTGCTGGCTTTGAACTCACAATTCTGTTGCCTCAGCCTCCAGAGCTACTGGGATTACAGGCATGTGCCACTGTGCTTGGCCAATAACATTTTTTGATGGAATTTTTGCAGCTTACTCTGCAATAGTGAGACTTTCAAAAGAAAATCTGATAAGGGTCTTTCTATTTTATCATTCTAAGGCTGGTCCCTCATCTGAAAATGGAGTGAATAAGAACCCCTACACCATGTCACTCAGGGCTGTGAAGCATAGCAAGACAAGATGCCCAAGGCAAAGCACTTTCAGCTGTGTGGCTTCAGCTGAGCTACTGGGCTCCAGCTGAGGCGTGCCTTATTTGGGGAGTGCAAAAGATTATGAAAGCTCTGTATTAGAGCTTCTGTGATCATTTTTATTTCATCCCCTTCTATTAAAATTTATGTTCTTGTTTGCTTTATAATATACATATCAGTATGGTAATATACATAATTACAAGTAAAAGTCCATATATTGTGGGTTTGTGTGTCAAATATGAGACCCTACCCCTCCCCAAATTCATCTACCACAACTTTTTTTTTCCCTACAATTATTTGAGCAAAATGGAAAAATCCTATAAGGTCCAACACAGAGTATCTGCTGGGCTCTGCCTGTACTATGCTGATGACAGAAAGACAATATTTTGCTCCAGTTGAACACAGTCTGTAAATTTCTCATCCTTTAGTAGCCACAGCCACCCCAGCAGAAAATGTCCTTTGGAGACGTAAAAGGAATACATGCCCTTGAATCTGGCCTAAGGACTCCAATCCAAAGACACTGAATTTCCAACTTCAGAAGATGTCAGCCTTCTCTCTAGTGATAACCAGCAGTTTACTTTCTGATGACAATATGTAAAGATAAAATCCTAAGCCTTCTTTTCTTGGATGATAAGGGCATACATCATCAGTCAATTAAATTAACATTTTAATCTCATTGGGTTTACTAGAACAAATTAAAAAATGAGGCATGGAGGTGGGAACTGGGTGTGGCAAGAGACTTAATTTTTTTTAATCCAATATATCATTTCTGGCACTCTAGTTTTGGAGAGAGAGAGAGAGAGAGAGAGAGAGAGAGTGTGTGTGTGTGTGTGTGTGTGTGTGTTTTCAAACTCTGCATGGAGAGTTGTAATACTGAGCACAGGTTGTTCAGGTGGTGAGTTGAAGGCAGACTGCCGTTTTAGTCATTGATGGCTGAGTAGGCTTATTAGAATAAAATGTACGTTTAGGTCCCTTCTGAAATCATTTCTGTAAAAACATTGCCACCCAGTGTTTCAAATAGGTGAAGCACAGTTGACCATGAACTCTTGAAAATAGTTTTCCAGAGTGAATAGCCATAGCTCAGACCCTTAGCTATACAGATGTCCCTGTCTTGCTTACAATAGACCTTTGGGAGCCACTTCAGATCCAAACTGTGTCACTAGATTAGGTCTGTTACAATATCTTTATGCTGGTTTTAATCGGGATGATAATTTATGATGGGTTTAATCAGGATGTTAACTCCAGTATAAATTGACCATCTATGGTCAAATATGGCCTGACAACTATAGAATACCTCTTGCTTTAAATAGTGTAACCCAGCCCATAACTGACCGTATAGGACAAAAAGGCTGTCATCCCAGATGTTAGAAGGCTCCTTTGATTTTAAGTATGAATTCCAAAATCATCCTTCTGAGATCCCAGCTTTACACAGTTGTTCTGACTTTGCTTATCACAAAAAGTCAAGGCTAAGGATTTGTCACAACTTGATCCTTCCCTCAGTCTTTCTGCTGCAGTCCTATCCACTCACCCATCAAGAAATGATCTCCAGCACTTTCAAAGCAACCTCAGATAGCTGCCTCTCCTCAGAGTCCCACCTGGAGAAACCGTGTCCCATGCCTCACCATGGAGGAAACAGGTCACTTATAGGTCAGGATCTGCCCTATGCTCTGCCACCCCAAGAGCTCAGGGTTTGTCAGGAATGTATCAGATGCCAGATCCCCAATTCCAAAATTCCAAGAAGCACATGCCAGGCTTTCTAGATAGTCTTTTTCATTCCCTGTATGATGAAGTTATAGGTGATCTTCCCTAATTTACTTTTACCTTCCAAAGTTTATACATAATAAACATGTATCACTTTGATAAACAGGGAGAAAAATCCCCAAATGAAATAAGAAGAATAACAACAACAACAACACAAATAGCTTATTAAACTGGGAGAGAAAAAAGTGGCAGGGAAACTAGAGCCTTCTTTAGTAAATTCCTTTTTTCTTATTTTTTGCTCTAGTCTTGATCTGTCTTTGCATTTTAACCAGCCCAGATAGGCTCAGTATATCTGGTTTTATCACAAAAAAAAAAAAATATGCTTTCCTTTGTATCTCCAAATAGCTCATTGTCCTGTGCTTTTTATTTTTTATTTTTTTTGAACACTAGAGACTTCAGTTAGGCCAGACCTGCTAGAAGACCTCTGTCTATCGAGAACACACATCTGACATAGCTGAGACCAAATCTCCTTGCTCTGTGACCCTGAATGACTTGAAGACTCTGAGACTCAGCTTCTCTGTATTAGTTTGCATTCCTCATTGGAAGTGATAAGGCCCAACTGAAATAGATTTTAAGCAAAAAGTCACAGCCCCTTAGAAGTCCTCATGGGAAGGAAGTTGGAGTACCTGAACTTCAGAAATACAGAGCTCTGTTCTTATTGGACCCAGGAGTGCAATCACCAGGGAATTCTTTTCTGTGTCTTATCCCTGCTTCTCTTTGCACATCAGTTTTTTTCCTCTAGGTCTTTTCTAGGTTTTATGTCTTCTATCCTCAATTATCAGGAAATGAAAGAAAATCCTGGGTGTCTTAGTCCATTCCATGCTGACATCCAGAATACCTGAGATGAGGTAAATTATAATGAACAGAAATTTATTTGGCTCACAAGTTTCAGAAGCTGGAAACCCCATATGGAGGGAGAGGATCCGGTGAGGGCCTTCATGCAGCATCGTCCATGGCGGGAGTACGGGCCAGAGTGTGCTAGAGAGAAAGAGGGTGCTAAACTCATCCTTTTTAAGAAACCCACTCCTACAGTAATGAATCCACCCCCACAGGAACAGCATAATCACATTTTAAAGGTCGCGCCTTGCAATACTCTTGCATTGGGCTTAAGTTTCCAACACATAAACCCTGGGGAAACATTCAAACAATAGCATTGTGGAGAGACTCCTTGGTAAATTGTAAAGTGGCTGCTACTGAACCAGTAAAGTATAGCCAGGTGGGCAGCATCACTATAAGGACCACAAAAGCCTTGCCGTAGAAGCATGTGGTGTGGGGTATCCATTCTAAACCTCTTCCTCACCTGGTTATGGTTAAGTTTTTGAACCAACATATATGGTTTTGTTAATTCTTCTATTTGGCTTTTCTTCAGTACCTACTTTATGCAAGCACTATTATAGACACTGGAGAATCAGCAGAGAACAAAGCACATGGGCAGCCTTGCTCTACTAGGGCACAGTTCAGTTGCAACACCTGATTCACAGTAGCCTCCTGCTAAACACTGGTGTATGGATGAACAGAGTGGCTTAGAGTGGAGCCCGGCTTCACTCGTGGTCCCCATGCACCACAAGAGCCAGTTTCTAAGATAATTTCTTTCCTTCATATCATCCCCAAGACCCAGACTTACCTGGAATGGATGTCTGCTAGCTGACTTCCTGTGGAAGATGGAAGATGAGGAGTCACTACTGCCAGATCTATCAGTCTTGTCCGAGAAGAGCTCCCAGTTGCAGCTGTTGGCCAGGGCCTTCCCCAGCTGTCGCCAATACAATGATATCCACTGTTGGAGGGTCCTGATGCTCACTTGCCCCAGGCAGGCCCCCTTCAGGGCACATACCCTGCTACCATCCCTCCCTTTGCCTTTACAGAGTTCTCAGTTCTCCAGTCTACTGAAGCATGTGTGCCCGTGAAGCACCAGACTTCTGTACGGTGCAGAGGGATGACTAAAATGGTGGAGCTTGGCAAAGCAGCAGCACCTCAAATCAGAACATCGTGACCCAGGAATAGATTTTTCTCAACTTAGTAGATGCAGATCTTAAAACAAGAGGCCCTGACACTGGTCTGTGTTGTCCTCACTCAGGCTAATGGTCCTGGAGCCTGCGTGTTATGTGGGATGGGAAGATGGAAACCACCTGCTACTGTTTCCACTTGACATTCTCACAGCAGCTGTTCTTTGACCAAAGTTCTACTGCATCCTTAAGGAAAATGACACTAGCCCAGATCTAGCAGAGAAGTGGCCACTTCACTCTGGGGGTCCAATTCCACAGGAAGCAGTGGCAATGGGAGAACCTGATCCTGTGGTTTTTACATAGGCTAAGGAACCGGGGTGTGCTTAGAGATGCCTCAGGAGCCTCGATCCAGACTCCAGTGTGTCATAACTGTATATTTTCTGATAAACTATATATAAATAGCTACCAAAGTCTTATTTTTGATATTTTTGGGGATTACACTGATAGTTATGTATATATTTTATGCACTGCTATAACTATTTTCTGATTCCCCAGAGCTTATACACATATATACAATATATAGACATATATGCACACACATACGAATTCACTATATATATGATTGCTACAATCTGTTTTGTCAATGATTTTTTGTTTTTTTTTGTATGTGACAACAGCCGACCTTTGCACCAGACAGGTAAGTCAATCAGAAGAATGGTTCACACAGATTCAAAGTTTTAATGGCTGTTAAATAATAAAAGGAGGGAATGTGCACTATATACACTGTCTACTTTCAGTACTGTGAGCTGGTCATGCACATTTTATTGCACATATAAACAGTATACAAGGATCTTGTAGACATCTTAGCTATACAAGAACTGGATCTAAAAGAAAAAAAAGCCATTTTACAAAACACTGAAGCCATTCTTATTATACAGCCAACGTCAAAAAATACCCAAAATTAATATCCAAAGAAATATTTTAATTTTGAAAAAAAATCTCTGAAAACAATGATTACATAGAGCTTCACGTTGCCATATATACATGTACAAAAATACTTCAGGACCCTGCATTCTAAATGCCCGTGAAGGTGCAGCCAACAAAATTCCTTTTTACATCATCAACCTTTGAACGTTGCTTAAATTGTATACGCTCTTTGTTCAAAATGCCTTTCATCTTTACATCATTACACTATTTGACAAAACAGGTATTTGTGCAGTACAGGAAAATATTAAAATATATTTTAAGTTAGGTTAAAGTGCACAGTACATTTGATAGGTAATAATTGCTAGCTGCCAATCTCAATTTCCTTATTCAGAAACCTCTGCCCTCCCCCACGGAGGGCGGCCCTGGTGTTGGTTGATGTTGGTGTGTGTTCAACGCACACTGTCCTCTTGATGGCTTTTCTTTTGCATTCACCTTTATGTCTACAAATATGGCTACTGCTGCTCTAGAAACTTCCAATGACTTTCCACAGAGGTTGAAAGTGCAGTCAGCATTCACAGAACTTTGAAAGATTGGTGACTGGGGTCACTGTCGATGCAGCAGGAGTGCACATGTGTGGCACTGCATGACAGGTGGTTGTGACCTGTGAAGCCTTCTGTGAATCTCAGACTAACACAGATGGTCCCTCTCCTTGAGTGGTTCCTTTCATCTTGTTTTGTTCACACTTGCTTCCTCCCTGACCACACAGCCTCACACACTCCACTTACTTGACCTCTTCGCCTGTCTTTGTGGTGCAGCTGCCCACAGGCTCACTGACGACCCACGTGGCTTCTCAGGTTTTGCACCAGAGACCACAAATCTTGCAGAACTTTCCAGACTACTGTGAAAAACACCAACTATGTTATAAGAAACTGAGCACATCTACCCCTCAGAGTCATTTCCTTTTAAAACTAGCAATTTTAAGAAGTGCTTATTTCCTGATCCAGGTCCTATGTGCCTTAAGTAATTTCTGATCACTCCATTGAAACTTCCCTTAAAACTTTTTGGTTAGACAATCATCTTTTTTAATCACCTCCACTCTCCTAGACCATTTCCTCATGTATCTACCTTTGGTGCTAGACTCTCCTTAATTACACAAATCACAGTGCAAAACTATACTTCAAGACCGATGATGCTAAAACACTCATGATTTTGTGTTAAAATGTGAATGTTTTGTGCATAGCAAAAGAAGTATGAATCCAAAAAAATAATTTTTCACATTTTATCTTCAAGTTTAATATGTCTTTTGTTTTAAATCCATCACAGCTATTTACAAATAACCTTGGGGTGCTCTCTTGATTTCAGTCAGTTCATTGTATTGGGGGACAGTAGGGTTGCTGGAATGTAGGAAACTGAATGGAATGCAGAAATATAAATAAGACCAATGTTCCACAAACCAAAGTGTAACTAATGCCTCCCCAGAAAGAGTTTTTTTTTGTTACAGAAGCACCTGTTTTTTGCTTAATAATTTTTTTCTGAATCATATACACCAGAAAACATGATTGAGACCTAGATCTACTGCACACCAAAGAGGATAGAAAATAACTCAATATTTATAATATTAAAATAAAGTGTTTAACCACAAAAAAGCAGTAATAAAATAGTTTCCTAATTTACAATTTGCATCCAAAGGATGAATAACAACTCACTAATAAATAATATTTATATAAATATTTTGTTATGTCGAAAATAGTTTTTAAAAGGCAATGGTCTCAAGAAACTTCTTGAAAAATTTGGTGGTGAAAAACCTGATTGTATCCCCCTCCCCCACCCCCCACTAAATCCATAACGAGTTTGGTTTTAATAAAACAGATGTGTCTTGCTGCAAAACAGCTGTGCTTGGCGTTCTGGTAATGGCAGTCGGTGAGCATGGAAGGTGACGGAGGTGGAGAAAGGCAATGATGTGCTACTTAGTCCTCCACCAGCTCCCTCACTGGTTTCCAGATGAACACCTGTCAAGTCTTAATGGTGGAGGTCAGCTCTGAGAGGTAGGAAGTCCTCCCTGAGACTAAACCTTGTCAATGCAACTAGAGTTGGGGAACTGACAGGTGGCGAGTGGGGGAGAGGGTGGAAGAGGTGCCAGGAGCAGAGTCCAAGATCCCCATGGGAGAACAGTTCAAGCTGACCCAGAGGAGAAGACTTGGTCTCATGTGAACAGAGCCTTCGTGATGGAGACATCAAGTAATGCTTGCACGGTGATGCCCACTTTGACCAGGCCTTTCTCTTCAAGGATGTGGTGGGGTAGACAGAGTTTCTCCTAAAAGGAAGAAGAACAAATTTTAGTTGACTGGACTCTAACTGGAAAACCCTGTGACATCCCCGATGGAAGCTAAACTGTCATAGACCTTGGATCACCTTGGTCTGGGCTCCTTCCCTGGCTGATAACCCAATGCAAAAAGCCTTTTCTTTGTTTGTAGGGAACATCTACGATTTGTCACATGTGAGAGTTGTTCCAGAAGAGTTCCTAAACCCTTGAAATCTGCCACAGATCTAAACATTTAAGAAACTTTTACATTAAATAGCTGAGCTACACTGAGTTGTTTGAAAAGCACACATCAACAATATAATGGCTTGTGTTCTTAGAAGGCAACACTGCCACTCACCTCTCACACATTTTAAAGGAACTCAAGTCCTCATTTATAAAGACAACACACCATAATACTGACCGGAAACCCTGATTTAATTCATTTTATGTCCTGTGATCTCTGAAATGTATGTTGGAGGACTGGCATCCTTTCTTCGTGATTTCAGATGACACACACATTAGAAATTTTAACCACAGTCCTCAGGAGCCTCTTTTAAGGCTCTTGCATAAAACTGTCCAAGACACAAAAGTCCCACTACTTTCTCAAGTTGCATTTTTGCTCTTGGGAAATATCCAGGACATACTCCTCAAGGAAAATACTCCATGAGGCACTTCTTGAGTGTGGAACTTGTCATGCTTCACAAAACAGTTTATAACACGATGAAATAATTTTGCATGTTTGTCCTTTGGTCCCAGTCTGACATCATATAAGGGAATCTCCCAGGGTGTGTCTCCTCAGCCAAGAAAAGACCCCAGTAAACTCTCTCTTATTCACCTGATAATGATGGTCTGTTCTCCACAATGGTCCCCATTTATTATTATTATTATTATTATTATTAGGCACCGAGCATTGAACCCAGTGGTACTAAACCACTGAACTATATCCCTAACCCTGTTAAAAAATGAAGACAGAGTCTCACTGAGTTGCTTAGCAACTCACTAAGCTGCTGAGGCTAGCTTTGAATTTGTGTTCATCTTGCTTCAGCCTCCCGAGCTGCTGGGATTACAGGCGTGCACCACTGCACTTGGCTTCTTTCTTTATTTTTCAATTGGCAAATAAAAATTGTATATATTTATGGCACAACATAAATTTTGACACAAGAATACATTGTAGCATGTTATGAATCAAGCCAATTAAAAATCCATTCTCTCACATTTCTCTTTTCAGTAAGAATACCAAAAATCTACTCTTAGCAATTTTTATTTTTACTTTTTTGTATTGCTGGGGATTAAACCCGGAATAGTCAAGCACTGCACAAGTGGCCTACAATGAAGCCCAGGGTTTCCAGGATGTATATATTATTAACTGTAATCACTATATTACACAATAAATCTCCTAAACTTCTTCCTGAGATTTTGTGACCTTTTACCAACATCTCCATGCTGGGCCTGTCCCCCAGCCGCTGGTAACCACTGTTGAACAATCAACTTCTGTGAGATCAGCATTTTTAGATTAATTATGTAAGTGAGATCATGCCGTATTTGTCTTTCTCTGTCTAGTTTACTTTATTTAATATACAATATCCTAGGTTCATCCATGTGTCACAAATGACAAGAGTTCCTTTCTTGAAGTCTGAAGAGTACTGTGTTGAGGCGAGTCGAGTCTAATTGGGACCTGCGTCAGGCCCAGTAGAGTTGGTGCTTGGCATGAAGCCACATGCTCGGCAGAGGACCACATCCTTCTGCAGGACTCTCTCTTGAGGAAACAAGCCTTCCAGCTGCTGTCTCAATGCTGGATTCTCCATAAAATATCATCACAGATACAGGCACTTTGGACTTCAAAGACATGCCATAACATCTCCAATAATTTGTTCCTCAGTCTCAACTGTCAGTTGAGTGGGTCCTGCACTGTCTCTCAAATCTCTTATCCCGAGTCCCTATAGCTTCCCTAACTTGTGGAAAGTGCAGAGCATCTCAGACTTGGACCTCAGGCCTTAAGAAATGGCCACATGTACCTGAGTGTCGTGTTGCATTCCTAATCCCAGAAGGCTGAGGCAGAATGATCACAGTTCCCAGGGCCAGCCTTGGGAACTTAATGAGACTGTTTTAAAATAAAATGAAAAGGGTCTGGGGATGTAGCTCAGTGGCAAAGAGTCCCTAGGTTCAATTCCCAGCACCAAAAAAAAAAAAAAAAA